CAATAAAATTTGTTTCACGTGATTTTATTATAAAAATGAAATTTGGCCACAAAATAAATAAGTGATGGCTTTAGACTTGCATCATACTAATTTTCTTAATCAAAAATATCTTTAAACTATAGATGCAAATTTTACTAATAATTTTTTTTTATTAAATATCTCTAAAAATTCAAAAATTTAATTTTTAGCTAAAATATTTATTACTATAATGAATTGAATTTTTATTTAATAAAATAAATAAAAAATATAAGAATAGAATAATATAAATGAAATTTAAAATTGCTTTTAAAAAAATCTTTATTACATTTTAAAATTTTTTATTTTTTACTATATATATAATATAAAGATTTTTAATCTTTTAATCAGTTTTAATTAATATAATAGTAAAAAATTTAATAATTTTAATAGAAGAGATATAAGATAAGTGATTTATACTTTGAAGGTTTCAACCCGCAGCAATAAAAATAATTTAATATATAAAAATAGATTTGCCGATCATTATAAGTTTCCACCCTTTAAGTATCCGCGAAAATAAAATATAATCTTTAATATGTTGTATTAAGATATTTATACATTCTTTTTTGAAGAATTTTATTTATAATAATATTTTTACGTTATTATTTATATTATTTATAAATTAAAATATTATTTTAAAATAATTTCTTTATTATGTTATTTTACGGCATCGTTACTCGTTGAGTCGGCATTAAAAAGATTATTTTTTGATCCTAATGTAACTTATTTACACGGTACATAATCAAAAATGCAAATTCATGGTCATAAATTTGATGATAAGTTAACTTTCGAGACGTGTGTTTATTAATGTGATATAAAGACAGCAATATAAATAAATAAAAAATTCGTCTAACTTTAATATTTAATTAATGTGAATAAATCAATATTTTATCTTTAAATACTACGCACGCAATTTAATTATCGCAACTTTTTTTTTTTTATTATTAAAATTAAATCATCTTCTGCCTCGTTTTCTATCTCGAGAACGTGATCTCGACCTAGATCGGTAACGACCACGATCTCTTTCCCTATCTCTTTTCTCGTACTTTTCATGTCTCTCATATCTATCATGATCTCTATCTGACCTTCCTCTTGATGATGGACTTGTAAATCGAGACCTTTTTCTTCTTTCTCTATCATCCCGATCCCTATCTTGATCTCGATCTTGATCCTGATCCTGATCCTGACCACGGTCACGATCACGATCCCTATCCTTTTCTCGATAAGGAGTAGGTAAGGAAGGTTTATCTTCTATTACATTCTTTTGTTTTTCATTATTGTAATTGTCTGTATGATCAAACACGAGATCATATTTATCAACGGGTACATCATCTCCAGCTCGATATTTTGTCCGCTTCTCCAAACTCATGGATCCTCCATAACCACTACTTTTTTTCATTTTTGAACTTAACCAATCTTTATGAAGCTTTGAAACAGATTGAGAAAAATCTACTTTAATTCTTCTATCATCAATTAAAACATTATTCATTTTAAAATAAGCTGTTTCACAATCTTCCTTATTATCAAATTCAATAAATGCGTAACCTAAAGAATCACCGGATTTTTTATCTCGTATAATTTCACAACTATTTATAGTACCAAATCTTGAAAAGATTAATTCTAAATCCTCATCCATCGTCACTTGATTTAATTTACATACAAATAAAACATTTTCAGGAGGTTTCACTTCAGCAAAAGGTATATCGCCAATCATTTCTAATGTTAATGCTTGTGCTTGTGCTTCTCGATGTCTTTTTATTTTTTCCATCTCTTCAGGTGGTAATTCGGGTTCGATGCTTTCATCTTCTCCTATCCTCACGGTTTCTAACATTTCTTTTGTCGGTGAAGGACTTTTATCAGGTACTTGAAGACCTTCAGGATCAGGAAATGGATCTTCTAGTATATGAGTATGTTTGATTCTAATATCTTTATATGGTCTTCCGCTTTCATCACAATACATATTATTGATTTTTTCTAGAGTATCAAATCCTTCCGCTACTTCTCCAAATACTGTATATTTACCATCTAAATAATCTAAATTTTCTCCCGTCGTAATAAAGAATTGTGATCCACTAACCCCTCCTTTACCTTCTGCTCCATCATTTGCCACTGCCATTGAAACGGTACCCAATTTTTTATGCTTTAATTTCGATCTTATCTCTGCTGGAAAATATTTTTTTGTCGGTCCATATAAGATCCCAAATACCGACTCTCCTCCCATACCGGTTGCTGTTGGATCTCCCGTTTGTACCATAAAATCTTTTTGAACATTATGAAAACTACAGAAATTATAATATTTAATTTTACATAACTTTAAAAAATTTAAACATGTATTTGGACAAAGTTTTGTGTGAAGATCTATAACTATATCACCGACTGAAGTTTCAATATAAACGCTCACTAAATAAAAGAATAATAAATTGGTTAGCATAAAATCGTTTGTTAAAAGGAAAGGAAAAACAAATCTAGAATATTTTGTCATACTTTTAATTTATGTCATTAAAAAAAAAAAAAAAAAAAAAAGTCTCGGAAACAAAATCCAAAAGATTGAAAATGCACTTTATTGATCGACATTTTGCCAAATTGAATTTTTTTTTTTTTTGTTTTATTCTCAAATCAGGTGATTGGCACGTCAAAAAGCATAAGAAATTTTGTAAGATTAGAAAATGAAAAAAATTTTTTTTTTTTTTGTCTTTGTTAATTAGTAAAAGGAAATTTTGTTTTAAAAGTTGATATTTTTATACCATATCATAAAAGATGTTTTTATCCTCAAGAAATATTCATATATATTAAATTTTTATGATAACTAAGACGATAAATATCATATAATATCATTAAAAAACAAGAACAAAAAAGTTATTTACCTCCAATCATTTTGGTCATTTTGATTTAATTCAATACAATCAATGTTATTAACTTTTCCTGATTAATAAATCATAATCTTAAAAAATATTATATTATAGGAGTAAATTTTTGATCTCTAAACAATTAAAAAAATTTTTTTATGATTGTATCAGTCATAGTAAATATATAATATTAACTGATAATTTTTAATATACAACTTTTTAAACATATATAATTCTGTCCTTTCCAATCTCATCATTTAAAAGATTAAAAAACATTAATTTTTTAATTAAAAGAGACAAATATAAAGAAATTTTAAATCCTTAATCTTATTGGTTCACAAAAAAGATACTTTAAAGGAATTAATTTTAAGGTATTCAATGATTAAAGCCTTTCTAGATTTAAGAAATCCAAGAGATCAATGCCTTGATCTTTAATCGCTTTCAATAAATAGAATTCCTCACTATTCCATCTATCTTTATAAGCATAATTAGCAACAAATTCAAATGATAAAGAGTTTTAAGATAATCTTCATTGAGTATCATAATATTTATAACAATAAGTAACTAAAAGAAAGGCAACCTTAATCCATTTGGATTACTTCCCATTTGTAAATCCAAATTCAAAAAAGTAACGGATTCCGGTAAACTCTCACAAAGTAAATTTAAGAACTCATCATTATCATTGAAAAGACTTAAATTTAATATAAATTTCAATTTGATCCAATGAAATAGGGTTGAGAAATTTTCTCCAAATTCTAACATAATGTAATTAAAGCTTGGACAAGTTTTTCAAGGATATTGAGATATTTCTAATCTCTCCAAAGTTTCTCCTGCGACATTACTTATTATGACAGTTGTGATAATTGGAATCCATTTAAATACTTGATAACTAGATATTTAAATTCAAAGGAAGCTTTTTCCAACAATTCACCAACCATAAAATAAAGAAGAATCCGTTGAAAGAGAAATTACGAAAGAATATCTGAACAAATTCTCAAACTATTGGCTTGAGTTTCTAACAGAGATAATTCGCTTTAATCTGATTTTTTCTCCTGAAAAAAATACTTATTCCAAAATGGCAAAGATTAATCAAATCAGGAACAAGGTCGATAAGGTCTTCATAAGTTTCTAATACAATTCTGTACAATTTTTTACAAGTGCAGATAATAAATCAAATGTTGAAATAAATCTTGCATTGTATATATTCATCAACAAATCCAAACAAAGTGTTTTCAAATTTGGGTTTTTTTGAAAATGACTCGTTAAGAAATTTTTTGCTGATAAACTTTGACCAAAAAATGTCACGAAACGGCCAGCATTAAGAATCGGCAACATGCATGATAATGCATATGGGCCTGCAAAAACCTTAATGCGGGCCGACGTGACATTTTTTGAAGGTTAGTCATCCAAAGGACTAACTGTGCCACTTCGTAATACGTATTTATATGTTAGATCCTTTTTTTTTTTGGAAAAAAAAAAATCTTTTGCTTTATTTCTTGAAGATATCGTCGTTTACCCAATTTTATTTTATTATTTTTTTTTTTTTTTGATATTTGAAAGAACTACTATTTCGTAAGGTTTAATTTTTTTTAACAGTGTTTAAAATGAAATAAGTATCTTTTAAGAAAAAAAAATCCTGCTCATTATACTTACCGCGATTATTATATTTAGATCATGACGGAAGCCGTGATTAACAACCTTTCTAATAATAATACATCTGGGTTCTTTTTGATTTCAAAAAAACAAGATGATTATGATAACTTACTTAAACAATATTCTTTTGTACTTTATGGCTTTGAGGAAGATCCTTCATCGCCTGACAGGTCTCTTTATGAGAAATCATCAGAATTTCCAGATACGTTCACTAAATTTGATGTGAAATCACCAACTGACTCAACTCTCCAGAGTGATCGAAAGGTATCACTTGAGTGTAAACCTAACCTAAATATGGGGGAGCTACATTTGAATTTTACTGCGGATCATTGTGATATGACGACGTTTTTATCAAGAAATATCGAAAATGGTGACGGCTCAAATACGTTTTGTAGACATCCTAAACATGTTAAATATTTGGATTCTGGTTTGATAAATGGAAATATTGCTTTAATTAAAATTCCAAAACGCCTTGCTCAAATTGTTAATGTTTATCATAAAACGTTAATTTGTAAACAATGTTTAAAGCAAATTGATAAGGATCCGGAGGTATTTTTTTGCTTTTTTTTTTCCTCAAAAAGTTTTTTTCGTTTTAAATGAAATAATCTTTTATATTAAATTTAATGTTTAGTATACGAAACACCCACAATATGAATCCCCAAGGAACATTCGTAAGCAAAGAGAATTGAAGAATCTTAATATCACTATTGTTGGTTATGATTAGCCCCAGAGAATTGATTTAGATTGAGTATTACCTACTTTTTATTTTATGTACTAAAAGTTCTGCTTTAATAAAATTTAATAAAAGTTTTTGTATGTTTCATCAAGTTTTTTAATCTTTCAGAACCATTTTTTAAAGTTACAAATTCTATTAGTCATCCGCACATTTTGAAATCTGCATTCCTATCAAGATCGAACGTTTTAGAATATAAATTCAAAATCTCACTGTTCATAGAGTTATCATTGCGCAAAATGGCCTTTCAGATTGATCATTGTTAATTTATTGTGGAATTAAAGATGAGGAGTGGCAATTATACTCTGTGATATTTCATGATGTGATATCAAACTTTCGTATTCCATTGGGTTATTAAAATGGTTTAGTTTCATCAGTTAGGCCCTTCTGATCTTAAAAATATCAAACGCAACTAACCAAATTTACCTTTACATTAACGAGATAAATCCGTAAAGAAGAATAAGGTATGATGGTTTAAAGCTTCGATCAAATATCAACTACACCGTGCTTGGCGCAGTACCATGAATAAATGTATGGACAAACTTTGCCTATATTCTATCGCTATATATCTTACAAATTTTTGAAACATGAATATTTAAGTATAAAATAAAGGGCGGTTTTCACGTCTTTTTTTTCTTCACTAATTTTATTTTGAATAACGAAAAATCCTGTATATTAAGTAAAGGTAGATAGTGGAACCAAAGAATAGGGGCAGTCTTGAATAATTGAATTTAATAAGGTTTTTTTGACCACATTTCGGTTACTTTCGATCTGTATTATATGGAATCCATTAAAGTTTCTTTCTAATAAAGAATGCGTTGCAAATAAGAAACGTCTCGCCCCCTGCCTCTTCGCATTAATGCTCAAATCAAATAACCATCACTTTATTTCTGAATACAATATGTTTAGAAGAATTCTTTTAAATAATAGGTTTCGTAGGGCATAAACATAGTGAGTAGACAGGTTCAAAGTAAGAAAATCTTTACTGATATACTATATATACTCATATGAAACGGTAAATAACAAACATCTCACAGGGGTATTCTAGTTATCTTTCTCAGGAATAGTGTGTTTGTAAATACACTCTATAATATAGCTTATTCATGTAACTTTTATAATGTGTTGTTTTAGTATCTAATGTAATTTTATTAATAAAACAAACACTCTTCTCATACAAAATGCTTTTTTATAACAAAAAATAATAATATTAATAACACGGTATCAATTGGAATATAGGTTAGGTGATGATATTATTTTCTCGGATCTATACAAAATTCCTCCCTTGCTTCTCACTTGGGCAGCCGGCTTCCTTATCATGTATCACTTTACAAAAATATAAAATGAAATGAAAACATCTAAACCTTAAACATGTGTGCGTATTTTATGTGTATACAGTATATTCGCAAATTAAACTTTGCCTGATTGAGATTTTTTTAGCATTACATAAATCAGATTTTTTTTTATTGAAGTTGTTGCAACCAGTATATCATTTGCAGAATTTTATGCTTTTACATAATTTCATAATATTCCCATTAATCTCAGCTTTTTCCTTCACCTCTAAAAAAATGCTATCTTGTTCGTAATGAATCTTTATTTTCTTTCCAGAATTTTGATATGTATGAATAAATTCATTATTTTTAGCTTCTCCACCATGATTCTTTACGTTAACACCAGTATTATCAAACAAGAACGGATTCAGAATTTTCTATTTCGTCAAAGAAGTCATCTTAAAATTAATTTCCTAATAAATTAACTTACATTTTTTTTTTAAAAAAAGAAATAATATTTTCTTACCAGTATAGAATCAATAATAAAACGTGACTCTTTAAACCCAAATATCTCTTCAAGATCACCTAAAATGCAGTATTTGTATGTATCTTGAGTTACTGCCATTGCAGAAAATGCAATGCAAACGCGTTGTCTATCACAAATAAGATCTTTGAATGTTGGTTTTTTCATTGCTATCCCTATGAAAAAAATCCCATACAGTTTTTGTGTAGCTTTTGTGCCAAAAAAAACACTACAATTTTCGGACAGTGCAG